TTCCCTCTTGCGGACTGGCAGGTTGCTTCGCTCCTGTTAGCGGAAGGGCCTCGAGCCAAAAAAATTCGGCCGCTCCGCTCCCATCGGTCAATCCAGACACGGGTCAACCCAGACCCCCAGACCCGGGTCTGGATTGACCCAGACCCTGCTGACCCGGGTCAATCCAGACCCGGGTCAGCAGGAAACCAACAAGCCTCGCGGCCACGAGCGGCTCGCTAACCCGGCTCAGCCAGAGCAGAACCGAATTTCGCTGCCAACGGGATCCGTTGGCAACAAAACTGAATTCTGCCTATGCCTATTAGAAGGATCAGCCTACTGCCTTTGCCGTGGCCGCAGTCCTGCAACCACCAGCTGGCCGTGGGCGCAATCCTGCGCCGACGGAGTGGATCAGCCAAGAGCCTGCCGTGGCCACAAAATCCTACAGCCATCAGCTCGCCCGGACCGCAATCCTAACAACATTGCTGCCGACATCCTGGCTGCCAGAAGTTGCGAGGAGAAAGATGCTACTGACGCGATGCAAACATTGAGAGGCGTAGGCGCAGACTAGGGAGGGGACAAATAGAGAAGACATGGACCTAGCTGGCAGAGCGAGACCAGGTCCAAGGCCCAAGCTGAGGAGGAGTAGGACTGGTATGCTCAAGAATGGCGTTGTACACCCGGCGTCGAATCAATAATAGCCGTCGGAATAATAGCCGCCGTCGGAAGAGTAACCGCCGTCGAAAGGATCGACCACGCCACCAGAACAATTCAAGAGATCCTCCATTGTTTCGTACCACAAATTGGTGACCACAAGATAGTACTTCTGTATCTCGACCCTGCCTGGATCGTAGACGCAGTACGTGTCGGTACCGAGGATGTTGACCGAGTCGAACCCGAGCTGCTCGCACAACTCTTGGTTGGCTCTGTCCCTGCCTGCGCACCAGATACTACCCAAATCGACTTCGCACATGATGACGACTTCTCCGCCGCCGCGTCCGTTGAAGCAGTGGCGCAAGGAGCTGTCAAGATTCTCTGAGAAATAAATCCCCGCTCCAGCGTAGCCCCTGGCGCCGGGGAAGAACTGGTCATCCTCCGCGATGCTCGCGGCGGAAGCGAGCGTGGTTGCATGGTAAAGGGTGCTCATCGGTACTGAGACGCCCTTGCGTCGAGCAGGGTGTGCTGCAATAAGGCCGCCCCAGGGGCCGGGGGCAGCCCGCGGCAGGGTAGCCGCTCGAGCCTTGAACCAAGCGGCGGTCGTCGCGGCGGGTCCTAAGGCCCCCAAGACCACAAATTCAATGGCGGCCACATCGCGATAGGTTCGCGACAATTCGAAGTCAACCTCCTGCAATTCGTCTTCGTTCGGCAGCCGTCCCAAAAGACTCTCATGCCGCCATCACGACAAGTGATTCGAGCAGCGTTCAGCAGCCGAGGCCACGGAAGACCCCACAAGAAACCGATGAACTAAAATCCGACCGTCCACATCACCAGAGGAAACTATGGATTCGGCTTGTGTCGGGGATTCGGTTTTCTGCTATGTATGGGGATGGGGGGGCTAGGCGGACAGCGACGACGACGACGACGACGACAACGAGGGCGACGTCGAGGGCGACGACGACGACAACGACGAGGGCGACGAGGAGGGCGACGAGGACGAAAGGGGGGGAAGAGGACGACGACGAGGGGGCGGATGGCCAGCACCCCAATCCGTCCGATCGGCCCAAGCCACAAGCAAGGGCAGAAAGGAGAAACGCATCGGAGTCACATTGGAGCCATATAAAGGCAATCGTGGGGTCAACTAGGGTTCACGGGGTCATCTTGAAGCAATCTCGAGGCAATCTCGGAGGCGGCGTTCGTATGTCACTGAATATCCGTTGGACGTAGCGTCATGTTATGGAGGCGTTGTTGGTGGTGTCATTGTTTGTTGCATATGGTTAGCTGTCGCTATTGTAGTTGTATCGTTGTGGTTTTCTGCTCTCGGTGCTGTTTATATTGATTTCTCTGTGGTGCGGACCAGACCACAACACGCCAGAGGATTTGTTCACCAAGCATGGCCGCGAGGAATGTGTACGTAGCTCCTCGCAGTTGTGGATACGAATGGGGGGGGGCGGCGGGGACGTCGGCAATCTGCGAAGCTCTGAAGGAGGCCGCATCAGGCGCATAATTGCTACAGGCTATACAACGAGACCGCCGCAGGCGCTGATTCTTTCCCATATCCTAGAATGGGGTTCTGGTTATTACTAGGACGCCTCCTCCTCCTCCTCCTCCTCCTCCGCCTCCTCATACCTAAAATTACTCATACACAGACTTACTCATAGTCAGACCTGACCATATAAACTTACTACTCATACTCAGGCCTGCTCAAACTCAGACCTACTCATACTCATACTTACTCATGCTGAAACGCACTCATACCCAGACTTACTCATACTCAGACCCTATCGTTGTCTGACTTAATCAACAAACAGCAGATTGTGAGGATATCTCAGGAGGCGCGCTGGTTTCAGCACCCCGAAGGGGAACC